CTTACTGTTTGCCTTTTGCACCCTTATTTGTGAAGTGGTGAATCTGTCAGCTTCCTCACAAATCCCTGAAAATACTCATGAAGCTGTAATTTCAAAATCTAAATCCAAGATAATAAATCCATATTTTTCAATTGTTAGGGATTTGGATTTATTTACAAAATGAGGAAAAAAGGTTTTAACCATACATATATATGTATAATAAAAAAATAAAGTATTTTAAAGCTTAAAACTATGTTAAGACTTAGTTGTTCAATGGAAGAAATTCTACAGTTCCTGGGGGGAAAAGTTTGATATTTTTGAATTAATGGTAAACACAATTTAATTGGGGCATCTAGTTTTCGAAAGAATTATTTTGAACTAAAATGTAGAGTTTCTTATTTCTATGCTGTCAAATGATAAAGTTATGCTCACTTTGGATTCTATTTAGTCCTGTTCTGATATTTGCATACTTGTCCTTCAACTCACTATTTTTGAAAGAAGAATTAAATAACCTTCTTTAGTTCAGCTGATAACACTCACTTTGTTCTGCTGCTGATTTAACTTTGGAAGCAGGGACCATGTGTTAACTCAAAGCAGACTTGGGAGGGATCATTATTTCATATCCAAATATGGAATTATTTTTCACATAAAAGACAAATTAGGATTTCAGCTTCAAAAAAAAATCTAATAGTATTTGTGATTGTGCAGAGGGCCAATGCATCCCTGAGGATATACTTAGGCCCTCAAAATAAGGCATTACATTCAACCTGAGGAAAATTTTGGGGAACTAATAGGATCAACTTTGTTCCTGATGTATGTTTTCTTTTCAGGACTTATGGGGAGATGAGATGGCACAACATTAACGACTAAAAACCAAAGGTTTCAAGATTTTGAGTCAGATTTTAAAATGTCATCATTACAAAAGCCTGCTGGGATTTGATCTATCTTTTAGCCTTTAGTGCAAAGCTGTCTGCCCACAATTGGTGTGTGATAACTATAGATTCAATATCCCTCTGCAAATGCACACATGAAGTATGTAAGCTTCCCAAAGGCTGTTTAGAAAGGACATACACTTACCAACTCTTCTGGAGAAGTAGTGTTGCCATTCTATCCCTCACTGCACCACTAGTTCCTAATTGCTCCCCACATGGCTCAACCAGTTTCCTGTCCTTCTTACATTCTCACTTCAAGTTCCCACAGTTTCCTGAGCCCACATACTTTCTCTGTTTCTCATCAGTCCCTTTTCCTTCATATTCTCTCTCATCCTTCTGAGTATGTCTACACCACGGAGTTTTTTTCTGAAAAAACTTCACTTACATTGCAATCACGTTCTTTCAAAAAAAAGGGGTTTTTCCAAGATTGATAAATCTCTTTCTATGAAGCAGAAGCCTTTTTCCGAAAGAGCTCTTTCAGTAAAAGGCATGTGTGGACGGGAAGAGGGAGTTCTTTCAAAAGAATAGGAAAGATGAAAAAGCACAAGTGCCCTGGTGACCACTCTGACCATAGTAATCACAGCTTAAATGTGAGATAGAGTCCACACTGAATGGATGCTATCTTTTGAAAAAGCAGATCTCTTTTTTGATGCACTTTTGCTGTGTAGCCACTCTATTTTGGAAGACATTTCTATTTTGGAGGCCTTCAGTCTAGATGTAGCCTCTGTTGCACTCTCTCAGTATCTTGCATACCTCCCCCAGCCACACATAGCTTTCCCTCCAGTTTCCAAACTATGCAGAGCCTTCATGGCAGGCATTTCTCCTAAAAGCATCATGACTCAGATCCTCAAAGAAATTTAAACTCTAACTTCCACTGATTTCAGTGGAAGTTACGAGACTAAATATCTTTGAAGATGTGGGCCCATATAACTTCACACCAGTTGAAATAACAGGACATGGTGGCCATTTTGAGTAAGTGTAAAAATTTACACAAAAGCACTGAGAGAACATAAGAACATAAATAAAACATCACAATAGCAGAGAAGCTCACAATTGTCTTATATATAAATGGAAGATAAACTTGTTTTCTCTGTCAGAAAATATCAAAAAGAATGTTTGTAAGTCACTGCATTACAACAGACACACAAAGCAAGGAGACTACCACAGAGGCTGCCTTGGCTGATAAACCCAGGGATCTCTCTTTTTTCTTACTCCTTAATTCCAAATTATTATTAATATGTGAGCATTATTCTCTAGTCTTATGTATCATAGAGTAATTTTGTAATCCAACATCAAAAGGCTATTCTTTAACAGTGATTTGGTACCATGTTGAGCCTAGTGCAAGTTACCACAATGTTAGGCAATTTTTTAATGCAAATTAGTGTTGTATTTGTTTTTTTGGGTCACATGGGAAATGCTATCCCAGAATGCTAGAGATGATGCCCAGGGAGGGCAGATATAGTGGGAATACACTAGAAAAGACAGAAGTTAGGGAGCAAGAGAGGTCAAAAACCCAAATTTAAGTTCCTAAATCCATAAATAAATCTCTTAAATAAATGTGGGTTGATTTTTGGTAGTGCTGAACATTAACAAATCATATTGAAATTGACAAGACTTCCAACTCTACCTCTGCACAGGGATAGAAGACCTGCAGCACAGCTGTAATTTACCTGAGGCAGCTGACTCAAGTTCACAAGGCTTGGCCTGTAGGGCCAGAAATTTCTGTGCAGAAATTGGAGCTTGTGCTGGAGTCTGAATTCTAGAACCCAGAAAGGGTGGAGGGTTCCAGATCTCTGCTTCCAGCTCAGAACCCGACATCTATACAGGAAATGTGCAACCCTGAAGCCCAAGTTCTATGACCCAGGCCAGCCATGTGTTTGTTATCCCTGTGTTGTAGAATTACACCAACTACTCCACATCTATGCAAGTGCCTACATATGACAGCAGGGGGAAAGCTCAGTGGTTTGAGCATTGGCCTGCTAAACCCAGGGTTGTGAGTTCAATCTTTGAGGGGGCCATTTAGGAACCTAGGGCAAATCTGTCAGGGATGGTACTTGCTCCTACTATGAGGGCAAGGAACTGGACTAAGTGACCTCTCAAGTTCCCTTCCAGTTTCATGAGATGGTATATTTCTATAACATAACTTTTCAGTGCCCAGGTTTGAAAAATCTTGACCACAGACTGAAATGAATAACTTCTTAAGTCTGGCATTTTAAAATTCATGTTTAGATACATGTGTTCACTTAAATCTTCACATTCAACATACAGTTGTCACTCTTAAGAACTCACCAGTTTCATTTTAGTCATTTTCATCATCATAAATGATTTAACATTGGAATCACAAGGACAACTAATAGAAACTGCTTACAATGCAATGAACAAAAGACATCTTTAAATCTAAACCAACTATATAAGACTTCAAGCCAAAACTCTACTTTAAGATATAACATAACAAACATAAGGACATAAGAATGACCATACTGGGTCAGACCAAAGGTCTATTTAGCCCAGTATCCTGTTTTCCAACAGTGGCCAATGCCAGATGCCCAGAGAATGAACAGAACAGGTAGTCATCAAGTGATCCCTCTCCTGTCATCCATTTCCAACCTCTGAAAATCCTTGCATATCCTACTGACTTCAGCAGTAGTTGCATATAGCTATCTGAAAGTGTATTTATGCACATAGGTAGCATTTAGATGGTATTTGTTTTTCTACAGCCTAAGTATGTGATCAATGTCTGGTGCTTATAACATTCACTCTAAGTTTTGCACAAGTCCAAAGATACTGTTCAGTGAATTAAGTTTTTGCTCCTAAAGCATTATATTTGCTCCTGAAACTACCACTGATTTAGGTGGGAACAGGATCAGGTCCTATGTGAAGTTGAGGATGCATAATTTACAGCAGTCCTTGTGCAACTATAAACTTTTCATGTTGATTTTCTGAAGTGAGGACAGGACTTACTTGATTTTGTAAGTCAGATACGTGTGTGTGTGTGTGTGTGTGTGTGTGTGTGTGTGTGTGTGTGTGGTTTTAAACAAGGATACATAGCCCTCTCTCATCATAATCAAATGCATCTCTGGACACAGTCATAGACAGTACTTAATTTGTAATGGAAGAGATGCAAGGGCTCTAGCAATTTTTTTTTTATATTCCTGACTGTTGTAGCAAGCCCAGAGGTGCTAAGTCTGTAAACTGCCAAGCCTAGAGATGCTAGGGCTCATCTCTGGCACAAATTAAACACTGTTCAGGTATCTAGAGGGCAGAGTTCTGACTGCCCATTATTTGAGACATGAAACCTAACATTGTAGAGCTATCTGGGATGTAACAAGTGGAATACAGACCATGCTCCCTATAAGCTGAGGTGCAGAAAGGCCTCAACTCTTGTTGAACTTAATGGGAGTTGAGTGCTCCCATCAGGTTGCAGAAGGGCACCCAAAAGTACATGAGAACAGTAATCCATCTACTCAAGAGTCTGAGAGTAGATAAACTTGGGCCTCCACTGTACTACACAGTCAGAGCCCTTTGCCAAAAACAGAGAGAAACATGAAAGGATTTCTCTACAGTACCAATATTTACAAATATTCTACATATGTACATATTTATATACATTATACCTGGACACCATGACATTAAAGGGATTTTTTTTATAATTTACAAATAAAACATTTTTAAAAGGTATAATTATACCATGAAAAATCTTTTTATTGCTTGCCTTCAAACCTTATACACATTATCACACTATTGCACACATCTCTGTATTACATGGAAGAGCTACATTTATATATAAATATATATATGAAAATAAGGATATTTCTATTTTAATGTTTTGAGTAAAGTGCTTGTTTTTCAACTACTGTTGATGAATAAAGATGGTTTAATTAGAGGGGATTAAGGGAATGCACATTTTACTAGTGGTTCTCCCTTGTTTGACTCAAATCAAGTCTGTCTTCCTTGTAAAGTCTACTAATAAAATGCATTTATGACCTTGGCATCTATACTGTCATGCAAAGCACAAAATAGAATCACATTAAAAACAAAGAAAAGACAAGAAAATTAAACAGAAAAAAAAGCAATGTTTGAGTCTTCTTCTTTGTTTTTGCTAGTTTTCATGTCTTAAGATAATTCATTTATTCAGTTTTAGAAATATTTTTACAAGTTTGTCAAACTTTAAACATACTTATTTTATGCACTATATTCAAGTACTGTACAAAACTGCAATAAGTGACACTATACGATGACATATGTTTCTACTGTAAACACACCATCATAAAGGTGCATCTATTTTAAAAGGTCAACTAACAACTGCTAATGTGTATGTGAATCAAAATATTTTTGATTGGCCAAGTATATTAAAATCTAAATACGCTACACAATTATTAGTGATGCCATGATTTACCAGGCCTTCGAGGACATAAGGAATATTTGCAAAGGTTCCAACAAAAATTAATTTTACTAACTAAATATTTATATAAAATTGCAAATGGCCACTCCAATTTTACTTCAATTTGTGTATGACATAACTGATAATTACTGATGATCCACTGAAGTTTATTAAAAATAACATTCAAATCTTAGCAAAACCCTTTCTAATATACAAAGTTAAGTTATGTCAGTGAAATTGCAATTTACAAAAGCAGCAATTAATCGTATCCATGAGGACAACTTCCTGCACTGCAATCACAAACTGCTGTTTCCTTTGAAAACAATAGCTACTATGGGTAGATGAGAGGAAACCTTATTAAGGCAGCTTTTCCTTTAAATACTAAACAGGAAAAATGCATCTTTTGTTTCTGATGTGTTTGACCCTGAAAAATTTCTGTGTGTCAATTCCCAATATTTATGAGCCTGATATCAATCTAATTTAAAAAAAAAATATTTTCTGACCTTGCTGAATAAGAGCACTTGGTTCAGCAACCTCAGATAAATAAACACTGAGGAGAATAAAATAGGTTTTTTTTAGTAGAAATTGGTTAATGCTACAAATTTGATTAACTACTACTGCTCACTAAAATGAATTGTAATAGTTCATTTAAATTTTAAAGCAGGTCTAGAAGTAAGGAACTCATGACCTTGGCATTCCAATAGTCTTTACTAAGTTTCAAACATAACTACTTTTCAGCATGTTTGTAAACAACAAAATAGTTTGAGTTCATCTCTCTATAATATATATATGTAAATCCCATTGTATGAAATAAGGTTTAAAAAAATCATTGTAATGACAGCTCAATAAAGTAGTATTAGTTATTTTATAGAAAAATATCTTAACTTTAAATTAAAAAAATACTGTTCCTAAATATTTATGCAGGACCCTATTTTTCTCTTAACTATATGGAGAAGATATAATTCTGTGTATTTGAATCCCAGGCTAAAGGAAATCCCCAGGGTAGAACTTTTAAAGAGTTGGCTGCATTTGCCAGGATTATTATCTGTTTACAGATCCATGAATAAACATTGTGTGCCTCCTTTGGAGATACATAGATAAGATATCTATATACATTCTGTAACTTATTGGTTCACAGATTAGCAGTTATTAGTCGTACTGTACATAGCAAAACAACCTATCTGATATAATGATGCTATACATCCCCAGTGTAAATCAGCTTTTAGGTTGAGGGCGCAAAACCAAGTAAGACAGGTTCCCTGTTTAAATACGTAGCCCAGTACACTAAGTTAAAAGTACCAAATAATACTGGAAACATTATTCTAGACATTCTGTCAATTTTGCTAACACTGTTGAATGTTTTCTTTGCTTCTTGTGGCTTGGCTTCTGGCTTTGCCTTGTTGGGTTCTGCAGTTGTAGCGCTCTTGGAGATTGTTGGTAGCACTGAGTCCTTGGTAATATTTGGAGCATAATTAGCAACAGCCACTGCATAGGCATTGTTTTTCTTAATGACAGATGCTTTTTCTTTTTTCTATTGGAAGACATCAGGGAGTTAAATATTTACTGTATGGTACATTGCCAAATCAGCTTCAATAAAACTGCATTTCAAATATTTTTTAGATGAAGATGGGAAAAAGAAATGTTAGTGATACTATAATGACAAATTATATGTTGGCAATGTCCTCAGTCTCACAGATGGAAGTTATAGACTAGTATCTCAATTTAGGAAAACAATCCATAAGAATAGGCCCTTATGCCCACAGAGAACCCCACTGAAGTGACCAGAGGCATGTCTAGACTACATCCCCCTTTTGAAAGAGGGATGTAAATCAGATCGAAATTGCAAATGAAGCCAGGATTTGAATTTCCCACACTTAATTTGCATAATGGCGGCCGCACGTTCTTTCAAAAAAGGGGTTTTCTAAAATGAATAACGCTATCTAGATGCAGTTCTTTCTAAAAAAAGGTTTTTTTTGAAAGATTCTGTACTCCTCAAAAAATGAGGTGTGGCTGCCATTATGCAAATGAAGTGTGGGAAATTCAAATCCCGGCTTCATTTGCAATTTCAATCTTTCTAATTTACATCCCTCTTTTGAAAGAGGGATGTAGTCTAGACATACCCTAGGAGACTCCAGGAAAGTAGGGTTTGTGGATATCTTCGAAGGACCGACAACTACCTAGACTGATTGGCTACGTCTACACTGGCCCCTTTTTCGGAAGGGGCATGCTAATTTTGAAAGTGGGAATAGGGAAATCCGCGGGGGATAAATCCCCCGCGGATTTCCCTATTCCCACTTTCAAAATTAGCATGCCCCTTCCGAAAAAGGGGCCAGTGTAGACGTAGCCATTGAGTAGGAGCCAGCTTCAGAAATGGATTATAATCTCTAGTTTTGGCTTGAGGCCCAGTGTTCTGACAGAGCTAACAGTAAACACAAAGCAAGAAATGGAAAATAAAAGTGCTACCAGAATAAAACGTAGGGGAGAATGATAATACAATCCATTTTCACTGACCTACCAGTCCCTACCATAATAAAGTGAAAGGAATCTCTGCACATTAATATCAAAATTACTCATACACCCCATAATTGCACACCAAAGAAACCTCTTACTGTAATTCAATTAAAAAACTCTGGTTATACTTGTATATTGTTAATTATATTTATATTGCTCGTTTGAGTGGCCACGGGCATTTTAAAATCCTGCAATAGCTAAAATCTGGGGAAGAGACATTTTCGAGTGAGTAAAAGTTCTACTTCTCATTATCATAATCACCTCAAGTATGTATCTACTTATCCCTGCCCCAGATTTCATGGTCAGGATAGAGGGTAAGGAGGTTTGCCAATGGCCACTTCTGCAACCTGTCCCTTTATCCCCTTAATATACAAGAGTACAAACCTGTGGTCTGTACAAGGTAGGCTGTCTGCACACTATGACCTGGATACCCAAACAAGATGGAACTAACAGAGGGCTTTTCAACTACCGAAAACCTTTCCACTGTCTAAATAACCTTTCAACTCTCTTTCCTGTAGGATCAGGCCCTACGTTATACAAAAGAACACATTTTTAAAATCTGATTACCATTTCTGCTATTTGTTTACTTTGTGTATTTCACTCTTGGCATATGATTTTGAAAAAATAATTTCTATGTTTTTTTTTAATTTACATTTTTTCTTGTATGTTAACACAATGCTATAATGTATAGGTTGCAAATGCGGTCCTGGAATATTCAAATCTAAATAAAATATTGTCTGACATGTTTTTAAAAAATTCAACCACCTGAAAATAATTCCGTCAATAATAAATTTTATAAAATTGAAGTTGTACACCCTTATATTTTGCCCTAAATATCAGTCTTCTGCAAAATAGTGATAGAAATGTAGCCGTGTTAGTCTGGGGTAGTTGAAGCAAAATGCAGGACAATGTAGCACTTTAAAGACTAACAAGATGGTTTATTAGATGATGAGCTTTCGTGGGCCAGACCCACTTCCTCAGATCAAATAGTGGAAGAAAGTAGTCACAACCATATATACCAAAGGATACAATTTAAAAAAAATGAACAAATATGAAATATTTGTTCATTTTTTTTAAATTGTATCCTTTGGTATATATGGTTGTGACTACTTTCTTCCACTATTTGATCTGAGGAAGTGGGTCTGGCCCACGAAAGCTCATCATCTAATAAACCATCTTGTTAGTCTTTAAAGTGCTACATTGTCCTGCATTTTGCTTCAGTCTTCTGCAAGTGAGCCTAAATTAAGAAAACCCTACTACAAGTATGTGTGCAGAAATATGAGGTGCTCAAGAAGAAAGGGATCCCATACATGAGAGAAGCAGTGTATTCTCTCTGAAAAGATTAAATGAAACAACTACATGAGTAGGGAGATGTCTCACGTCCCGAGGTATACATTTACCATGGGATGTGGCCTATATACATTAACTACATGACCTCCTGGCCTGGTATAAATAGCAGTACAGACAGTGAGGCAATGGTAGGGTGAGTAAAAATATGCCTGAAACCTGGGATGGGGGAAGAGGATACATACATGGCTCTCTACATGCCAGGCCTCCCCTGTCTAAGACGGTTAATTTTTCAGCTGTGTAGCATCTCATTTGATTTGCACTGCCGGAGAATTTTGTCATTCCCTGTCCATTGCTGAAGCCTTTGACTGGCACAATGCAGCTACACACTGCAGCATGGAAACAGGCTGCCTTTTACTATGGTATGCAGCTACACCTGCCCTCACACACCACAACAGTGGCATGCAGTGTAGATGTAGCCTAAGCGATCATGTTCCATGACAAAAATGCTGCTGGAGGTGGCCTTGGGGAGGGAAATGTGGACAGATTCCCCTTGCTGAGTTTCATTCCCGTTCTCGCCTCCTGTGGGGACTTGTGTGAATTGGTGTACTAACTGGAGTGTGAATGTGCACTGCAGTGTACTCTGGAAATTCCTAGTATCTTCACATCAGTTCTCTAGTGAAATACAAGTTCCAAAACTACTTCAGAGGTAGAAAAGAATCTCAATGAATGTAAACACAGTCATTTCTCCTTGAACTGAACACTTGCTTATTAGCTGGAAGTATCTGAACTATGTGTTGTGCTCAGGGTCAGTAAAACCAGAGAGAAAAAGAACATACAGACAAAGAGGTACATATTAACTAATCTGCAAAATCCCTTTTTCCCCCTGCTGCAGTATTTATAGTTCCATTATGGGATTTTTCACATACAAAGCCCAGAATTTATCAGTATTGGAAACAATGGAAATATTGAAGGTTACATTTTTCTTTAGATGATTTCAGGGAAATAGAAATTTCAATACTGTAGAAAAACCCCAATGTGATTTTGTTCTGAATGTAATTTCTAATTTTCAAATATTTAGACATGATCTGTGGAAGACTACAATTATTGAATAGGGTTGTTAGAAATTAGAATATTTTCAATTGACAATAGGTAGGTATTATCATTTACAAAACTAATCTTGTCATATAAGAGTTAGATGAATTTCAGAATGGATAGCTTATGAGCAATTGAGTTAACACAGAAAAACTGGGGGGGGAAGGATGGAATTACTTCCTACATTAGTCATTTACACAGAAACAGAGCTAGATTTCACATGAATATGTTTGAGAGTTATAAAATGGCATTTAAGATAAAAAATGACAACCTGAGCAAACACATTGGGTCACTTGAATTTTCCTTGTTTTGTCCAAGAAAAGCCTACTTTCGCTGTTAAGCAGCTGCCACTTCTGAGAAGGCAAGAACACAGTTACATTAATTTAAAGAAACAGCTGAAGGATGACTGGAGAGTTCATAAGGTCTTCCTACATCAATTATAATAGAGTGTCTATGTGCCTGTCAGAAAATCTGCATTTATTTGACATGCAGATAATCTGGTGGTAAGCGATTCAGGATTTGTTTATAGAATCTAGACAATAATGCCGTAGGTTGTGGTGCTTCATTCTTCACTAGGAGTAACAGGAATTAAGAAAAGATGCACTAAAGTTCTAAAGATCTTTGTTATTATTATTATTATTATTATTTGCACTTTTATGTACCACTTTATACATTCAAAGCACTATTCAACCATTAAATGTTAATCTTTGTTTCACTCCTCTTATGGAAATATGTAATATTGTACCCAGGTTTGGGTCAGGCACAGCCACAAGTTAGAGATTTCCTTAGCAGAGATTTTTCCTTATTCAGTTCTTGGAGAGCTAAAGAAAGTAATTACATAATATACTAAGTCAAGACACCACAATAGTTCTTTTTCTGGGTTATTTACTATAACGATTTCCAGTGAAACCTTTGTTATCTGGCATTGCCCCTAGCCACAATACTGTCACATCTTCAAGCGCACAGGCCTGGCTTGGTTTACCATGATTGGCTTAGCAATTTTTTATTTAAGAAGTACTAATCATCTTTGATTCAAACTTCTGTTGGTCTAAGGAGTATGTCTACTCTGTTTTGGCCAACTGTGCCATTTTCAAATCCTCTGGAATCCAGACACCTATTTCTAATTGTAATAGAATCAACCAATTGTGATTCCAATCATCAGACATCATTTATTTTAATATGCATTATTTCTCATATTCTGTACCTCTTTGATACCTTCAGTCCAATTGGATTATATTAAATGGCACTGGTCCTGAAAAATGACAATGACCAAAGTATAATTTATTTGAAAAACAATAAAAGTGAAACTAAGTAAAGTCTCATAAGTTAGAAACAGAACTGGACAATAACCAATACCTAATTCGCTTTAAAATGAAGTAGGAAATTTAATAATGGAGTCTAAGTTATTTGCAAATAAATGTAACAAGCCAAAGTGTCATGAATATTTCATTCAGAATATTCAGAATTTAAAAATAAATGAGCTAAATCCTGAAGTATTTAATGAGGCAAAATTTCTGTTGACTTCAGCAGG